CCGCGCCGTGTGTCTGCCCGGCTGCTCCGGGCCCCTTCTGGGCGGGGGGGGGACGCGAATCTCATGGGCTGGGAAAAGCCTGAAGTGACTGACGGGTAGATAGGCAGCGTTTGGGGACTGGGAGGTTTGACAGCATGTGGAAAAGGGGGGGGGTGCACGTCCTGTCAGAGCTGATGGAGTTTAGGCTTTTTCGGGTGTTTCTAGGGACTCTGTGGGACCGCACTGCTTGGCGTTACCTAATCTGGAATTTTTCTTTATTCAAACTGACAAATTGCATAGAAGTTAATGTGAAAGTTGCTCGGTATGCTTTTAAAGACTTAAGATTATCTCAGGTCACAGAAAACTTAAGTGCTACCATCTGGCTTCGGTGCTGTCTGTCATAACACCCGAGCCTGGGCTGTTCTGTAGGATGGTGGGTCACTATTTCATGGTCATGATTGCAGTGTAAGTGCTTCAGTTCCATATGTAATCAAAAATAGTATAGCTTGCAGTTTTATAGTCCTGAATGCTCTGGAAATACAGACATGCCCTGTAGAGATATTTTTAAGCCATCTTGCACAGCATGTCTTGTAGTGTATCTTGGTTGCAAATATCTTGTGTTTGAGAACTTCTCCAGTGTGGCATGAGTTACATGAATTAGTGCATTATGCCAAAGACTTCTTTCAAATGTGAATGAAGTTGTAGTGTAGTATCATGGGATTGCATGACTTCAATTTTTATATTGTGTATTCTGGTTTTCAGAAGGCAGTAGCATATATAGATAAGAAATTGTCAAGTGACTGTCATTAATGTACATAAACTTTCTATTTTGACTAATGTTTCCTTGAAAAATAGAATTTATTCTAACTGAGAACAGAAAGCTTCAAGAGATCACATTAACAGGACTGGAACTATATTCAGCTTCTTGGAGAGGAAGGGGTGAGATGAGGCGATATTACTATAAATGTGTTACTCTTAGAGTCATAAAACTTCTAGAAAAAGTTGAAGTTCCGTATGTTGTACAACAGAGTGTTGGGTATCTGGAATAATTTAGGAATCACTAGCATGCTCCAGTTTTTGTAGTCTTTAGTTAGAGAGACGAACATTCCTTCTTGAATTTTGGTATCTTCTGCAGCTCCTGATAGTCATGAAATCTCTCACTGGATTTGAGCACCTTGGATGACTTTGTTCATTCCCATAAATGATAGGCAAAGTAGTCTTCTCTCCAGCAGCCTTACAACTGCTTAGTTAGGGTGCTTGCACTGGAAGTTGGAGCATTAGTGTTGGACACTAGTGGACATCCCCCAACCACCTACCTATAGTTAGATAGAGTAGGTGCCTCCTAATCTTTGGATTCTGCTCCTCTCTCTAATGCCATAGTAGCATGGCTCAAGGTTTGGTCATGCTGCCGTTTATCCATTTGTCAAACTCGGTGTCAAACAAAGACACTGACGTGCTAAGATTTTTCCTTCTCTCTCAGTGTTCCCAATATTATGTTTCTATACAAAGTGATTAAAAAACAAAAACAAAAACACAGAAATCAACCAGGAAGAGGACAGTGGAACCTCCTCATTAGGCTATAGAATCATGGTTGCTCTCTTTGAAATGCAGGAGATGCTGGTTATATCTTACAGTACCTGGTTGGATGCTGTGCCTGAATCATTACATTGCCTTTTTTAAAATACAGAATGTTTTTGTACATCTTGTACATTTGGAGGAGAGTTTGTGTGCTTGAAAATAATCAGATTTTTTAACTCTGTCTACTAATCTTCATAAGATTCTACGTCCCTGTAAACCTACTTGGGCATCAGTTGTGGCCACGCTACTTTTGTAAAATTTCGTGCAAAATGAACTTCTAAGAAACCCTGTCCTTCCCACTGAAAGTTTGGACTAATCATATGGTACTTGCTAGGCTTTTGTCAGCTGTTCTAGTGAAGACATACTGGTTTAGTGGTGATTTTGTGGGCTTTTGGTGCTGACACATGTAAGCACGCAAGGCCATGTTAGTCTTTTGTAGGAAATGGACTTCTCATTTTGCTTTAGGAGGGTGAGGCTTTTTTTATGTCTACTCATGTAAATATGTAGTTGACGGGGAACCTTTCCATTTCAGATGTTATTTTTAGTCTTGATTTAGACACTGTCCTTTGGCTATTTAGCTAGCTGTGTTTAATATCAGTTAAAGTCACCATTTCCAAGATGTCTTCATGTATTCATTACAGTGTTGCAGATAAGCTGATGTGAAATAAAATTTAATCAGTTCACAAAGCACTGGTAATTGAAGGCAGAAATTCCATTTTGAAGATGGTGATGTCTGAAGAAAACTATGCAATACAAATCAGTCAGCATTCCAGAGGAACAGAGAACAGGATAGTTTCTCTGAGTGTTTTGACATCTTTTTCACTGACAGTAGGAGATGAATTCACTGGGAGAAAACAAGTTTCTAAGCAGTTTTAGTGCCACACAGTGACTTTATTTTAGAATTGGCTCTCTCTTGAAATATTAAGTGGGTTTTGTGTGTGCAGTTAGGTATGAAAGAGGAAGTGCTTCACCAGATGACAACATGCTCGTTGTACAGTGAAGGCCAGTTAGAGTCTTGCTTATTGCATAGTTGACTAGCTGAGATGGATTGATTTACTGCATAGCCGATTAACTCAGATGAAGTATGTGTGCCGCAGACAATTTGCTGGCTAGTGTCAGTGAAGTCAGAGGTGCTAGGAGTTTTCATGAGGCCACTGCTGCAAGCTGAAAGCTATGTAAAAATGTTTCAGTTCAATAAACTTCTGAACTTCCCCTGCCTTCACTATGTTTCCTTTATGGATCCATAAAATGTTTTGGGGAATAAGTTACCTTATTCTTTTGATGTGTCTCTAATGTAACATCTTGCTGCTGCCGTGCTTTAATTCTCTCTGTGCTCATCTTCTATGTGAGCAACTGCAGTGACTTTTTACCAATAAAAGACACTGAGCTATGCAAGTCAAACTCCAGCTAAATTTGGTGTCTGTTACAAAATTGTTGCATTGACTCCTAGAATTAAATTAATTAGGATTCCTGTCCTGATTTATCTGCTTATTTTTATCTGTTGTAATGGAACTTAAAAGTTCAGTTGACAGTAAGTCTAATAAATTTAATACATTAGAAGGAATCTCAATAATCAGGAAAGGAAAGCTCTATCCCATTTTACAAATGGGAAGCTGAGGCATGATATGCACAAGGGTGTATCGGGCTGGCACACAACTCTCAGATTTTCTGAAATCTAGTCCAATTTTTCACCTGTTAAGAAACGTTCTAGGATTCTTGCTGGAGCACTGCCACTTTGTATTGTGTGTCTGTGCTATCCTGTATCATAGTCATCTGCTGATATAATTGTAGTTCCTTTTGGGTTGATTATCAAGGTAAGACTTAAGAGAAGAAAAGGAGTAAATGAAGTTGTGGCCCTGCCATTTGGCATTACACTGTTCAGTGTTTGTTCCTATTCATAAGATTAGGAAGATACATGGTTGTGTTTCTTTCCAGTGTTTGACAAAGATGAACAAGAGAAGAATGAATGCTCTTTCACTTAGCAAGTTTAGTGTAATGGTATAAGGTGAATTGAGTTTGCAGTGAACTCAGGAATATTAAGGTTCCATGTACATTAGTATTCATACAACTGCTTCAGAATATAAAATCATTTACCTTTTGAGAAGATTTTTTTTTTTTAAGTTGCAAGCACCAACAAAAAAAAGCCTCCAAAGCACCAGACAAAACTCAAAACCTTTAGCTAACCTTTAACTTTATTTGCAACAATGCAAATCTTTCAAGACCTGTTTCAGATACTGGGGAGAATGTTTGACTTGTCCTAATCTTGAGCTAATAATTAGTTCAAGATTCTATTTTAAACAGCTTTTAGCATATTGCTGAAATTAATGCATATATATTGCTTCATATATTAGTTAGCAGTATAAAAACTAGGTACATGGATGAAAGTACTTTTTAAAGGTGGATGATTGCTGATATTACTGTGACTGGCTGATAGCATATTGTTGCCAAAACTCTAGTTGTGCATCTGACAATTTGTACTGTACAGAGATTAACTTAATTGGAAAGACTAAAGTCAAAGCTCAGAGAAGAGGCGGGCAAAATGCTACTTACTATCTTGAAGGGCCTAGTGCTGCCACAGATGAAGTGAAATACAGCTCCAACAGAAATATGTTTTGATTGTGTGTGTGTGTCTTTACCTCTGTCATAACTCAGAAACTTTTGCATGACACATAGAAAGTGGAGAGGGACGAGTCATTTGATTGTTATGGGGAGTGATGGTAGCTATTGAACCCTGTCAAACAGGCATATACTGGTGAAATTAGAAGTATAGTCACTCATGTATGGGAATGACCTGGGGAAAAATTGATTAACTTCTGGTGGCTAATTCTTTTCAGCAGTGGACTTCACAAGGTTACAAGCTGCACTTTTTGTGGTTTCTGATTTTTTAGTTGTTTATGTTGTGAAGTCAATACAGTACACAATAAAAAAATAACATGGAGAGGAGTTGAAAAACTGAGGTGTTATATGTATGTGTACATCTATGTATGTATAGAATATATATATATATATATATGTAACTGACGCACTTGAATGTTGTTTTGGTTTTAGTTTTGCACTTAGGTAGTAAACTTCGCAGTCCTTTGAATTTGGGCACAAATAATACTGAGTCTGAGGAGGTTTTTGAGTAATTGTTTCTTCCTAAAACAACCTTTTCAAGTAGTAGTTAGTTTTAATTTAGGATCTGTTTGGAGTGACCAGTGTGGCAGTTAGGTAGGCTAAACAGTGGGGAAAATGGCTTTACTCTTTCTAACATTGAGTACTTTTCTACTCCTTCCCTCTTGCCCCCCCAAGCTGATAGAAGAGTGAATTCTGATAGAGAAGAGTGGAGTGAGCTTCTGAACAAGCTTCATTTCAGCAAAGACGTACCTTTATTCTCATTTCAGCAGGTCACCTGCTCTTCATACCTCAAATCTCAGGTAGATGGCTTCTAGCTGCCTCTTTTAAAAGTAACAGTTTCTTTCACCAATTCAGTGTTAGTTTGCAATGATTTCTACCTTTAGAATAGAGAACTGTCCATCTAGTTACTATCCACTGTTTTTTCACTAACATCCACTATTTCTGAATCCTTCAAATTCTTGACTGATGCATTCTCCTGTCACCCAGATATTGTTAAAATTGCTTATTCCAGAAGGTAGTGAAGTGCTTGAGCACAATATGAAATGATAGTTCTGTCTTTAAAACTAAAAGCTAAATGTGTTGGGATGGTGTCTGCTGTTCTTGCTTCTTTGCGGGAAGTTTGACTGTTTCCTACTCCTGTTAGATGAACAGCCCATTTAATACCCACTCTTGCGTAAGGTTCTCTACATTTTTAAGTCTCCCATGAAATGAAATCAAGACAGTGCTAGTGTTGAAGTAGAGGTGAAATACGTCCTTTGAGGCCTTTTTCCTGAGTTACAGCTTGGTAGTGTGGTCTGTAATTTGGTGGTTACTTACTGACTTAAGCCTTCCATTTTACAGTAAAAGAGCCTGTTTGTTTAAGAGCCACCCTGTATGTTTTTTCAGTAGCAGAAATTCCTGATTTGGACTGTATGTGAAGCAATATTTTCAATACTGTATTAGTACAGTGTTTAATACTAGTTACATTATCTAACAAATGAGCACCAATAAAAAATACATCTAAGCTCCATGAAGCTCACAAATCCCATTATGTACTTTTTAATAAAATCCTCAGGGCAGTATTGGAGCAGCCTACCTAATGATCCACCTTCCTGACTCTTCCTAACTTAAAGCCTGGAATATAAAAAGTGATTTAAATGCCATAGCATATTTGAAATCAAGCTGTCCTTCCACTTCCATGGAATACTCATGGCCTGAGGAAAATGTCACAGGGCTGCCTTCTCTTCTCATCAGGAGGTATGTTAAACTTGCAACAGAAAATGTTGTTACAAATGTAGATGTATATAATGAAAAACTATTTGTGAAAGCTAACCTCTTATTCTTTACTGTGAAATGTTCACCTGTAGAAGAGAGAAAAGGGATCCTTGAATTAGAGGAGATTATTCTGACTGAGTCTGCACCTATTTGAGGGGATCCGTTGGAAATGTGATATACTGAGTATAAGTTCTCTAGATTATCAAATTGATACAGAAAAATAGTTGCCAACATAAGTGGCTTCAGCCTAAGATTATTTTTTTCTTGGCTGGGTTTGCTAGCATGATCCAGTCTGGCACAGGAGCATTGATAGATCTAGGGGTTAGCTGGTGCTACAGTGCACACATGATGAACAGTCTTTCTTTGCTGATGATTTTTCAGTGACACTGGTTCTAAAATAAACAATGCTTGTTCTCATCATACATTTCTATCAAAATGGAAACTAAATTTAAACAGCCAATTTTGTTTTTTGACTTAATGACTAAATTTATAATTTGTGTATGGAAGACTTGCTTGAGGAAGTGTGAGCTTACTGATGATTATTCTGTTCTCCTTGGCACTGCTAGTGTTCAGTGCCATTGTTAGCATCTAAAACAGATCAGTTGTACAGTCACTGCAACTGATTGCCCACACCTCCCTTTTAAAAGTATCTTTAACTGTGACTTTACCTATGATTATGTGCTGTGTCTTTAAAGGCCATATGCATTAGGTACTTGTATTATTTACATCAGTGAAACGTCCTGATAGTAGGCAGGTAGCATCTTTGCTCCAGATACCTTCTCTCTTTTCCTGCATTAATAAAGTTTCAAAGAGTGCTCCTTGCTTATCAGCAGCTAAAGAAATTGACTTTAAGAACTATGTAAAGATGTATAATCCTCTACATCTAACTTTTTTCTTTTTCAGGAAGGGTTTCTCACCATGGCCATAACACAGTTTCGACTCTTTAAAATCTGTACTTGCCTGGCAGCAGTGCTTTCTTTCATTAAAAAGTTAATATGCAGGTAAACATACCTTATTTAATTTGGTTACCTTTTCTTTTTTAATTACAGGTTCTTGCACTTCTTCTCCCAACACCCACCCATCACTTTTCTCAGTTCTTATTAATGACAAAACAATCAAGATAGAGAGAAATTAAGTCAAATTCATCTTTAATCTGCATATTTCTTTAAAGTTCAAAAGTCTGTGTAGTGCAGTTGTGAGTGTATTTTGTGGTATGATAGCTTTTATGAGGAGTGTTTTCTAAATAGCTATGACAGGGTTTTAAAATTGCCTTTTAAAACTATTCTGTGTCAGACTTTAAGCAAGATTGTTCTCTGCATTTTCTAGGAGTACTTGGCAAGTGATACTTTGGTTTTTTAAGAGATTCAGTGAACAGCAGCATCCATGTATTCATCAGTCAGTAGGCTTTCATTATAAAGGTGATGCTTATCCTGCTTTGTTGAGAAACCATTGCCTGAGACTTCAAATTCTTTTGCCTATTGAAGATTCTTTCAAAAGTTTGGAGGACAGTGGTTAAAGAGAGCTGCCTTTTTTGTTGTTTTTTTAATGAACAGAACTTATTTTTTGCTTATTCTTGTAAGTTATACTTAGTGTCTTTTTGAGTTGTAGACTCATGAATGCAGCAGTGTAGTACCAAGAAGCATGCAAAAAACCCTCAAGAGTTATGATCATATAATAGTAGAGTTCAGTATTACAGTAGCAGAGTACCTGAGGTAGATCTTCTTGGCACTGTGCTGTCATGTGAACTACTGTTGCTTCTTGCCACTTTTGCAGAATGTTGTTTTACATAAACAAATAACAATTGAGAGAATTGTATTCTTCTTTTGTGTATGATGACTACTATTTTGCTAGTGAAGTTAAAGCATATGCAAAATATGTGGAAGACAGAAAATAACTTTACTTCATGTTCACCTTTACCTATTCCAAGAACAAGAGGAAGCTCTCAACTGGTTGGTAAATTCATTACGGATCTAGTGAAGCTTTAAAAAGATACATTTGAGGGCTACATACAACTATACAGATGTCAACCTTAGTTCTGTGATTTGAATTCCAAATTAAATTAAGAATACTTGCTGTTCAAGTTCTGAAAGAAGTCAAAACATTGAGTTGATGATAGCTTCTGTATCACGTGGACTCTTCATATCTCTAAGTATTAAGATGGCTTTTATAAGCAGATAATTGTTTAGTAGGTGTATTTCCCTCCGTTTTTCAACTTTTGAATGAACAGTTAAGGAACTGCTTGGGAGTATAAAGTAGAACTTTCCTTCTGTGAACAACCATTAGTTGAAAGAATGAAAACTTAAAATCTTTCATGTAAGCAAGTCAATGGATAAAATTAGTTTAGTCTATTAACTGGAGATGTTTCTCCCGTTCATTGTCAGTTGCAAAACACAGCTTGATAAATTTTATTTCCCTGTAATGCACCCCTGCATATGAGTATGCCTGATAACCAGCAAATGTGATTTAATTAACTGTGCATTTTAATTCAGTGGATATGAGCTAGTACTTATTTAAATTATATAGTTTACATTAGTTTTTCATTTAAACAAGTGCTTGTAGAAATCATATATCTTTCTAGTCAGCATAAAGCCTCCATATAGTACTAGTCATCTCTTCAGTTAAAACTTTTTTTTCAGTAAACAACAGCCTGCCTGAGTCCACTGTTTCCAGGAAATAAAAGGTACAAAAAGAGATGGAAGTTCATTCTATTTAAAATCTGTATTTATCTTCTCCAGCTGAGAAATCAGGATGCTGCTAATTAGTAAGGAGAAACAAAACCAAGAATTCTTGAGGCATTTGGCATTCAGAGCAGTGATCAGTATCTGTCTAATGATGGTTGTGAAGCAACTGTTCCTATAAATATCTTGTTCCCTTTGTAGAAGCAGAGATACGTAGCCTTCCTCAGCACTGCCCTGTGTAGCATATTCTCTCCCGTGTTGTATGACAGAAGCTGTTCCCTCCCACCTTCACCCTTGTCAGTGTCATCATTTTGGCTCGATGAGTATTTCCTATAAGCCACTTGCTGGAGTCTTCTAGATCATATAAACAGGGAAATATATATAGTTGCGAAAGTGATGGCTTAGAATAGTATTAAAAGATATTTATGTTGTACAGGTCTGAGGGATAGTGTGTCAAAACTTGGGTTTCCTTTAGAGCCATCAGCTAAATCTAATCAACCAGAACCAGAAAGTCTCCAATGTGTTTGAGGGAACAGTGTGTTCATCTTTCTTTTCCCCTAAACTGTGTTGCTTTTCAGCTTAAAGGGACAGTTTCTAAAGGGGCTCAAGGTAATTATACAAAGCTTGAAAATTTGATGATAGCACCTGTTCTTTCCTAAGGATGAATCTATTGAGCTTAAAAGTAGGAGAAAACCACATCTAATCACTCACCAGCATGCGGCAGAGGTGGTATTACAAGCAATTCATCTATCCTGAGCTCATGGTAGAATGTTCTATAATAGTAAAACCAAAGGATACGAACTCCAAATTGTAGTTTCTCATTTTTTTCCTCATCAGTAGTAATAAACAAAACTTAACTTTTCCAAGCTGCATAAGGTCAGTTACATGACTGTCTTGTTGTAGGAGCTTACACTCCTTGGGGACAACATGAGTGTGAGCCTGACTTTCTTTCTCTTGTGTTGTAAGGTTTTCAAATATAGTGAATGTCAGCTAAAAATGATTTAATTATCATCGTGATCTTTGTCCACTGTCATTAAATAAATATTGAGGTGGTTTATTTGCAATGCATTAGTGTGTCTTTTCAATTAAAATCGATACCGTTGGTGAAATGTTTTCATTGAAACAGTATTCTTTAAGTAAGTAGAAGAGTTTATTGAACAGAAGCTGTTGACTTGCATAATCTTGTACCACCTCTGTTTAGACTTTGAAGGAAAAAGTGCTTTAGAGGGGTTTTCAAATCAAGCAGCTCAAAGAGATTTGTTAGACACAGTGTAACAGCTAAGACAAGTACAAAGATTTCTTAGTTTACAGTAGAAATTGTTATCTTTGAACAAATATAGATCAATAGCATTTGCTTCATAAGCAGTGACAATCTAAAAATTGTAACTGACTATGCAAATAACTGAGTTAATTTTTTCATTTTCATATTTCTTAAGTTGCTTATCCTCTACTTCTACTGCGGTTTGAAAAGTATATTGCACTTTGAAATTATGGTGACCACTGCTTTAAATTTGTGATGAAATTCCTTTCTTTGGCAGTAGTTAATACTAGGGTAGTTTAAGCACTTGATGTTTTAGCCATGACTATTTTCAGTAGTGCTGTTCTCAGACTTCCTTTTTGTTTTTCTTAAACTTAGTGCTCATGTTTTCAGAGCTTGGAGGAATCCTACATTTTTCTTTCAGGTCTGGAAGAGGGCGAAAGTTAAGTGGAGACCAGATAACTTTGCCAACCACAGTGGATTATTCATCTGTTCCTAAACAGGTAATTGCTTAAGTGGTAGGTGGCTTAATAGATAATCACTTAACAGAGTGATTATATCAGTCCTACAACAGGATTGGTATATGTCTTTGAAAGATACAGTATTATATATGCTATATAATATTAAGAATATATCTTAGTAAGATATAAAGAGACAAATTTTTACTTGCAGATAATATTAACTTGTACCACATGCTTATATTCAGCCTGAAGTAGAAGACTGGTCTTCGTGGGATGAAGATGCACCTACCAGTGTGAAGATTGAAGGTGGCAATGGTAATGTGGCTGCTCAGCAAAATCCTTTGGAACAAATGGAACCTGATTATTTCAAAGATATGACACCAACTATAAGAAAAACTCAAAAAGTAAGTATTTCACTTTCAACTATATTTATGGAGGGTTTTCCTTGCTTTAAAATAGGCTATAAGTGGGCAAGAAGGTGCTGATAGTAAAATTAAGCTGTCCTGTCAAAATGAGAATGGTGCTGCTGTGTAGTCTTAACATGTTCAATTAAAAATACTGACTCTAAGATCTTAATGAGTGTGATGCTTCAGTCTTATTGCTATTGGAAACTTATGAATAATTGTATAGTCTGAAAGCTCCGGGAAGTGTAATGTGAGAACCCTCAAGTCACTTTAATTATGAAAATGGAACCACTGCACTAAGATACTTATGTTTATGCCCTTGCATTATTTGAACAGAGACATTCCATGTCCTGCTCTTCTGAATTCTGAGGTAGCAGTCCTGCTGTTTCAGAAAACAATGGTTACTTCTTTCTCCAAGTTATACTGGAGAGGCTGGAATTAGGGAGCTGATATTTCAAAATAGCTTGCTTTTCAAATGTCCATTTTTATTATGGAGACAAGACAGAAGGGCATATCCCCAAGAGCATCAACACCGTAAATAAATGCTGATTAAACTTCTGTTAATTGCAAGTTTTGTTTCTATGTGGAAATCTTCCAGCTGGGTACTTAGAGGACTTGGAGTCAACTGGAGAACCTTTTTCACCACATAGGCAGTCAAATACTGCCAGATTACTAGAGAGGTTGTGCAGGCTCCTTCTCTAGAAGTTTTTAAGACCTAAGTGGATAAGCCCTGAGTACCTTCATTAACCATCAGAGCTGACAGCGCTTTGAGGAGATTGGATTATAGACCTTCTGAGGCCCTTTCCAAACATATAAACTGGAGTTGATACTGGGGTCAGTTTTCTGTACATTCAGGATCTGTAGTATTCTGTGGACTAAATTCTTCTAAGGATTTTATCTCCTAAAATCTGGAGGGCAGAGGAGGACTGGGGAGAGGGGGGTTTCTCCTTTGTATCTAATGACATTTTTTGCCTAATAGCTTTAGGTTCAGAACAAAACTTGAGTCCATGCTGTTTGATACTGTATACTGTGTTTAGTTTAAATGTATCTCTATTGATGACAGCAGGCACCATTCCTGCAAGCTTGGCCTTGTTATCACCCTTAAGTATGAATTTGTGTTTGTGATTTTGCTCAATATAAACCCCAAGATCTGAGGTATAACATGTTACTGCTCATGTCTTTAACGTCTGGAAATGGAACATCAGTCAAATAACAGAGTCTGTCATTGCTAAATAAGATAGTCTAGTCCCTTTTCCTTTATTGCACTTGTACTAGCATTTGTACAGTCAGTAGAACTGTGAATCTACCTCTTTTGGAAGCAGCAGAGACTTAAAGTAGGCTGAACAAAACAAGTAAGGTGGTATCTTTGAGGTCAAGACAAGTAAGGGATACATGATCTTAGCAACCATGTCAAATTTGCTAATAAGCCTTTTAGGAGAAACATTAATGCGTGTTTTTTAGCTAAATCAGTACAGAGCTTTACCAGTTGATGTGATAGTGAATTACATTGCAACTATTGAAACTTAATTGTATGCACGGATATGCTATTGGAGTAGCTAAGAGAGCTCATGTTCCAGAGCAGTATAGCTGTACAGACAGCACTATCCTCAAGAGTAGTATCTTACAGTGACCTATTGTAGAAGCAGGATTTCTCCAACGAATATGTCATGTAATTGGTAGCTTATATGAGTACTGTGAGATGTGGGTATTTGGTCTGTAATTCTTTGTTCCCTTTTTCTGTCTTGATACAATTATAGGTTTCCATGTGACTTAAGAAGAAGCTAGTGGGGGGAGGAGGGAATTTGTGAGTCTTTTGCATTTAGCTTCTCTCACTTACCGGTTCATTTGGCTGTACAGCTTCCTAAACCTGAGCAGGTTTGAGACACAGTTCAGTGTTGTGTAGCTGTACCTTCACAGGCACAAAGTTATATAATCACCAGGCAATCTGTGCAGTGCTTTGACTTAACATTTTTCCTTTTTTTGAATATCTTCAGATAGTTATTAAAAAAAGAGAGCCTTTAAATTTTGGGATTCCAGAGGGAAACACAGGATTCTCTAGCAGATTAGCAGCTACACAAGATATTCCTTTTATTCACCAGTCTGTAAGTATGCTCTGTGTATTGCTCTTGTATTTGACAGTTAAATGACTGTTCTGTAGGAGAAGGAATAGTCTGCCTAAGGTCTGCATTGTGGGGAGCAACAGGAATAGTTGTGAAATAATGTAAATTGGTTTAAAATTGTGTATTTGGTTCAAAGCAATGAAGTAGTTAATCTAATTTTAACTAATCTATTCTACTGAGAAACTCTTTAGCAGAAGTGGTAAAAATGTAAGAAGCTTCTAAACACTTGTATACTTGCAAAACATAAAACCAAAAGAGGAGAAGGCTTTTTTTTTTTTTGTAATTGTGAAAGCTGGGTTACCCTTGCTTTATTATCTTGGACCCATTTTTAACTTTCTGCTTCTGTCTTCCTTTCTGTAGGGATTGTATTCTAACAGTCTCCTAATTTTTGCTCTTTTAGCCTTTGAAAAAGTAGCCTTGTTTACCTAAGAGCCTGGCTGTTTAGAGGGAGATGGTCTCCCTCCCTTCCTCTGCCTTCTCTAACAGTGCTTCTCCTTTGATTAACATAGTGTACAAAAGGGTCTAGGCAGAAAGCAGTACAGCATGGTCATACCACTTCCTTAGACTGTCAGCAATGAAAAGGAAAGAGTTCTAGTGAGTAAAAGCAGCACTCAAGTAATATTGGACACACAAAGGTGGATGTACGTGATGGTTTTTCCATGCAACTTCCAGAAATCTTTTACACTACCTGCTCACTTCATCTACTCAACTTACCTTCTTCCTAAAAATGCACTCCAGTACTTCATTCTGTCCTCTGTTACTCACCAGTAGAAACCAAAAAACCTTCCAACAATTAACTGGAGACGTTAGTAAAACAGGGGAAGACGCATAGAGAGTAAGTTGAGTAGTACTGTCATATCTCAAATATTTCTGGAGGTCTGAAGCATCAAGGTTAAAAATAAGCATTCTGTCTATTTTTTCTATGTGTTAAGAGCTTATCTTCTTTTGTTTCAGCCTGAACTGGGAGACTTGGATACTTGGCAAGAAAATACTAATGCCTGGGAAGAAGAGGAAGATGCTGCCTGGCAGGCAGAAGAAGTTCTTAGGTAACTAAAAATAATGTAACAGCATGTAAACTTTTTACATATAAAAGAATCAAATACAGGGTTGTCTGTTGTTATGCCTTTCTGATAAGTGCTAAGAATCGTTAAACAGTTCTTAAGATAAATTATTTTTATGCATCTAATCTCTCAAACTGGTACTTAGCAGAATACATTTTGAATCTGATCAATTTAGTAGATAAGATAGCAGGGGAAATCTGAGAATCACTGTAACATTGGGACAACACATGAACACCCCCCTCAAAAAAAACCCAACCCAAAACACTGAAACACCACCACAAACCCTCCAACTCCAACAATTTATTATGTACAAATAGCATGTTTCAACTTAGATAAAATACAACTGGATGCCTTATAAAAGGATCATAATCATGTGCTGTAAAGTAAAAATAATTGAGTGTAAAAGGTGAAGTGATAAATATGTTCTTAGAATCCCTCTATGCCCCTCTAACAACTACCTGATAAGGCTTGTATGTAAAATCAGTGTCTTGCACAAAGTTAGCGTGAATACTTTATCTGGTCCATTTGTGTTTTGTTTGTTTTTTTTTTTTTTCTGCTTAAAAACGTGAAAGGAATATGAAGGGTAAAGAGATGCAGACTGAGTTTAAGTTAATCGCATGCAGTGATTTGAATTGGCAGTGATTTATGTTAATCTGTTTCATTTCAAGGTTTTATCAAACTTTGATTGCTTGCTCCATCGTCAGATAACTCGGCTCAGATAGCTCCCGCTTCCTAAACTGCTCTTTCTACTCGCAAAATCACAAATACATGGTTTCAGTGGGACAATAGTGATAATATTAAATAAGGATATGATATAATAAAAAACCCCTATTCTAGAACTGTGGATCTTTAAAAGAAAAAAAAAAGTCTTTGCAAAAAAAAAGGATTCTGGTCAACTATTTAGTGTAATATTTGGGAAAGTTTACTTTTTTCAACCAGTAGAATAAGACAAGAGGGAGGTCACGAGCACACTTCTGATGTGTTACTGATTGATAATAAATTCAATCAATTCTAATTCTGTCTTGCTCTGCAGCAGCTTAACATGGAGAATAGGGTTGTAATGCAAGTATTTTTGTAAACTTAATCAAATATGTCTCTGTACATTCTGCTGAGTATCTTAGTGGTATTTTTTAACTTCTTTACTGAAACTGTTTCAGACCTTTCACTAATGTATCACAAGAGTACAAGCTTTGTGATAAGAATAATGTGCCTTTTGGACTGTTGGGTTTTTTTTGTTTGTTTTTTTTCCCAAGGATAGCACCTTTTCCCATAAAGAATATTAGTATGCTCAGTAGGTTCTTTAATCTCTAAAGTGCGGTATACTTACACTTAATCTGTGATGCACCAAAGACAATGAAAAATACTGCTTTTTTTGAACCAAGAAATGAAACAGCTACTTTTGCTAACTGCAGAGGACGCGTTGTACTTTAGTTAACCCTTGCCCCCTTCTGTTACAGATGTTTTTAGGACTATGGAAGGAAGGAGTCAAACTTTCCAAAGCAGGGACTTGTTTTATACAAATTGGCTTCTAAAAATAATCTGGTCTGTGCATACGCCACTTTATTTCTGGAGTGTAAAATTTGTGTAGTGGATATTCCCAGGATGGTCAAAGGTATATTGTCTGCTAATTGTCAGGTTCATACTCTAGAATACTTAGAGACATCTCTTATGTGGTGATAGCAGTGGGATTTTCCCCCAAACTCTGTTTTTCAGAGTAATCTTATTTGGTTGAAACTGTTCTAAATATTTCAGCCTGGCATCTTTACTATTGAAAGGCTTCAGCTCAAGTAGTTAATTTTCATTTCCTCCCTGGCACTACTAAAAAGTGTCAAACTTTGTTTTAGATGGGGTGTGTATGTGTCCAAATATTTCAAGTAGTATGTACCGTTTGTCCAGCTATGAATGGCCACCTCAGTACAACTGATCATTGTGTAAGCTGTATCCCAGCTGTGTGAAGTAAAAATCTTTGTTTTATTCATGACACATCAAATTACAATGTTTTTCTGTAATTGAGGAAAATGCTGGCTTATTTTTTAGCAAGATCAATAGGAAATACCTTCTGGGTTTGCAGTTACTCTTGCAGTAGGCATCAGTGGTATAATTAACATCTGACATTTAAAATAAAACTTAAGTATGCTACTTGAAAGGCCTGGCTCTGTTTACAGCAGACTGTAGTAAGGACGTGATCTGGAGTCTCTTAATGCTAGAAGACTGCATTGTGGTCTACAAGATGATCTGAAGGTTTCAGACTACTAAATGGGGGACAAAGTCCCCCTAACCCTCCAGAGCATTAATGCTGACTGTACTCCAGCAGTGCTCATTGAGAATGAGTGTGCAGAAAATGTAAGGATTTCCCTTACCTAGCTGTGTCTGGGTACCTTCTGGTGCTCATTTAGCATTCAGAAATGTCTTAGACTGGAGTAATTTTTGTGTAGTAGTGGAGTGCTGATCAGTCATGCAAACGTGGGCTGTGGCCTGCTAAATAGCAGAGAAGACTATCCTGTGGCCTCACTGGTGACTTAATGTGTATGTGTGACAGTTGAAATAAGCATGTATAGTAAGATAGATGCTTGCTTCCTGGAATCAAAGCATGCTGAAAGACACTGCTGAGGAGCAGGCTACTAGTGCCTGAGAGGTTCCTGTAATCTGTTTGTTGTTTTTTTGGGGTTTTTGTTTTGGTTTGTTTTTTTCCCATTCACCAGCAGGTTCTGGGCTGGGATGTGCTGAAATTCTTCAGTCAGTGATGAATCAGCATATTGGGTGATAAACTGGATTTTCAGTTAATTGAAGTTAGTTAGAACTTCATTTCTTCTGCAATTGTAGATACCTTAGACTTTCTAATACCACTGAAGTTTTTTGTCTGATGGGAACTGTTAAGCTAAATGCTTGTGCATTCTCTGTTGTGTTGAAGACCAAATGGTATGAAATCATTCTTATTACAGTCATTCAGAAGGTATACAGTAAATAAAAACATACTGGAATAAGAATGTCTGCTAACCGTGTTCTGATTATAATTCATGTTCTGCTAACCAATGAGAGAAGTTCAGGGATTTTTTTGGACGTGTGTTAGGAATGCAAATTAAGGTTGACATCAGGAGTGAATACTTTCCTGGTTTAAATAATTTATCATTCCATCTAAGCTCTGCTGAACTCCTTGCTTTGGAACCCAGAAAAAGTGAGTCAGATATGGCTGCAGTTCATCATAGGCTCTTCCTTTATTGAGAAAAGAAACATTTCTGAGCCTGAAAGGTAGTAACTTTATGTTGAAAACATGCAGGCAGTTTGGAACAGAGATCAGTGTTTTGAATAATGACCAGGTAAAAGAGCAGTGGAAAGTAATCACGTTGGTAAGCTACTTGTTTATATTTTTTGGTGACTTCAGTTTTTCCATCTGAGGTGATGTGAGTTTCTTCTCATTTGGGCATAACTGAAATCCAGTAAAATTACTCAGCCAGTAGAGGGCATGGAAACCACTTCTCTGTGCAGAGGAGTTCTGTGTCATGCCGTTTATAGAGGGGAAAAGAAACATGATCTACTATGACTTTCCTCACTTCAGAATTGCAAATGAATAGCAGCATTGCTTAACACCTCATGTGGCTTTTTGGAATTCTACTGTCTCTACATGCTGGCTGGTGTACATCTAGCTTCTTGCCTTCTGCATCAGTTCAGAGGTGTGGGGAATAAAAGAAAATCTGCTACTGTAAAGTGGCAAATATTATTACTCTGCATATGCTAGACTGACAGCACTGTCATCTATCCAGTTGGAATAGTGGGTCATGAACACAAAAAACTTGGGAGGTAGATTTTGATGCAAATGACTAATTTCATTCTTCTATGACAGACAGCAGAGCAGCTTAATAAAGTATACGAAAATTTCTAACCATTAATAATCAATCAAGAGAAACCCTGAAGGTATTGAAGAAGTGCAATCCCTCTCCTGTCCAATGCAAAGAGAGTATGTAGTCTTTGTACGTCAAATATTTCTAAGTTTTGTGTGCCCTTGAAGACTGTTGTTTATATTTGTACTGAATCATAGAGTACAACACAGATCCTGAACACATGAAACAGAGTATTAGAAGTTACCTTAGATCATGAGGAAAATGTTTGAGTAGTTGCATTACAAGGAGGATAGTTACTGATGCCTCTGCTGGGAGGAAGGGGGGACACAAGTCAGTGTTCTAGACAAGTCAAACTGTTTTGGTCTATATTTGAAAAGATGGGTAATCTTGCTACTCAAAGCATTAGATTGGTTGGTTGATTGGTTTTTTTTCCCCTAAATAGCTCTAGGCCTTATAACTGTCATTTACTTTTACCAAATCACTTACCCTGAATCTTTGAGTGGCTTTTAGATTGTAAAATAATTGAACAAATATTACTTCCTAAGACTAGATTAATCTGGAAAAAGGGCTTCAGCACAATTAAAGAATAACTGTTCCAAGTTTAACTGTAGTAGACTGAAGCTCTGTTTTTATTAGTTATAATAACCTATTTATTAACAGGAACTTAACATATGACCATGCTGAAAATTGGATTTCCGTTACTTAGTAAGTCATGTTTTCTTTAATTACAGACAACAGAAGATAGCAGAAAGGGAAAAAAGAGCAGCAGAACAACAACGAAAAAAAATGGAGAAAGAGGCCCAGAGGCTAATGAAAAAGGAACAAAACAAAATTGGTGTAAAACTGTCCTAACAGAAACCAGGCATCAATGGCAGTGCCAGTGAAAAAGAGAATTTCAGCTCTACAAAATACATATTGGTATTGGTTTAAGTATTTCTAGGACTTCAAGACACTGCTCGGTTTCAATGCATTCTTCAGGTCATCTTGGAGGCCAGGATTCTCCAAAAATATTTTGAACTACTAGTAGGTGGTTCTTAAAAGGAGAAAAAACCCACAGAAAATCATGTCTTGATGGAATGATGTTTCCTGCAATAGTTCTATTCCAGCACCCTTCTTTGCAGCAAAAGTGATTGAGCAAGGATGTTGATTGAAAGACACTCTTAATGAACATCTCAAGCCTAGAGGAAAGAATGTAAATATTCAGTGGTGGGAAATACACTGTATTGTCTGTGCTTACCTGAAACATGTAATTAAACAGTTTTAAAGAACCCTTTGTGCTTCCTGCCTGATAAAGAATGTCTGCTTTTGCCTTTTTATGAAGGTATTTATAAATACTTTAGAGTTTTCCATGGAAGATCATACTGACCTGTGCAGAAGAAAATGACTTGTGGATGAACTGCAAGTCTAAATGTACTCCTGGTAGAGTATGCTATGGTAGAGCAGAGCTTCCAGCTGGACACTGATTTCTTGTCACTTTGTCACTTGCAGTTTCCTGTGCTACCATGCCTATTTACATGCGACACTGCCATGGCTATCAGCAGTGGCATCACCACACAATGGTAGTGCACGCTGCTGCTTTCTTATGAAGGCTTATGTTGTGAACGTAGGGGAACGATTTAATCACTTACTTGTATGGGTCAATTTGTATTTCTAGCAGAAATTCTTTTACTTCCTACAGTTAGGAAAAAAAAAAACCCACCTCCCACCTTATACATAGGCAGGATAACTGAAAAAAAAAAAAAAAAAAAAAAAAAAAAAAAAAAAAAAAAAAAAGTGTCCTCCTGTTAATAAAGCTAGTGTGAAAATTTTCCAGTTAACAGCACTTTTCAAATTCCATTTTTTTGTACATTTACTGTTTGTATTTACAGTGGAATTGCTTTGGTAAAGGGTGCATGGTAAATATGCAGTAGGAGACAACAGTATTTAATGAAGAAGAAAAGTCTAATGTTTGATGGAAAGAAAGGTGTATGGGAGGAAGGGAGTCCAGCCAAGAGCTTCAGTGAATGCCTTCTCCATCTTCTGTTGTGGGGATGCTGTTATCCCTGAATTCATAGATTGGAATTCTTATCTTGTGATAGGTGAGTGAAGACAGTGCATTCTGTGCCTGAGACTTGTTCTCTGTTCATACAGGGAACAGTGAAGTTGTGGAAGAATGGGAAAGGGTGGGGGGCTATCTGACTAGATCATGCCTGCCTAGAAAAATTGAATTTTTAACTAAGTTGTAGGTTCTGACAAGTTTTGCTTAAAAGATAAGTAATTGAGTAAGAATTACCTTTAATGGCCTTAGTCATGGAAAAAAGTTGGGGGGGTTTAAAATGGTCAGTATGCTTGCCATGTTGCTTAAAATCTTACACAAGTCAACTGACTTGACAGCAGTTTTCAGATATGAAAACTCATTGAGAAATGTTAAATTTTAAAATATGTTTTAGAAGGCAACAATATGCACTTTTGTGCCAGTTTTCTGCACAAGTGTTGTGGCTGGAGTGGAATGGATGAGTAAAAGAGTGGTAAGGCAAGCAAATCTCAGTACCCACCCCTGAAGTATTTGTTGGTGAATGGAAGACAGGGAGAAAGTCTGTGGATAAGCTTTAATAACGATCTGTGTCTGTCCTTTTAATCACACTGATGAAGCGATGAGGTACAAGTCAGTTCTTTCACTATTGCTGATGCAGGGCAGGGAAACCTACTATCTATTGCCTATTTAAGGTAAAACCTGTTGGAAGCTACATCTCAGCTTTTAAAAAAAACTAGTGCTTAGTATTGCTATTTATGAGACAATGTAAAATAGATTCAAGTACTATTTATTAAAAATAACAAAACATGGGCTAGTTAATAAAAAGTTAGAAACAAAGCCCCTGAACGCATTGTGAAAGTGCATTGGTTTTTTTGAGCCTTCAGACATTTTAAAATCCATTGGGTACTGCCACCTTCTTGCATGTCAGCCCTCCTGCCTTGCTTTTCCCGGTCCTGCTGCGTCCTGCTTTGCTGTTCTTCCCTCTATTTGCCTGCCTGTCCTTGAACAAAGCTGCTCTAAGTATTACTCCCATCTTCTCTACCATGCACTGATATGATGCCAGTAAGGATAACAGTGCTCTTGTAGCTAGTATCTTGCATGTTAGAAACACATGCCTTGCTATTCTGTTTCATCTTTTTTCCTGTGCTATATCTTCTTACCTCCTTCCTATATCTGGAATTTTATCCTCAACAAATGTGAAAACCCTTTTCCTAAACCTTTGGCATAGCTGCTGCTCTACTTTTTTTTTTTTTCCATTCGAGTTCCTTGAGGGATCTCGTACATCCACTGTGCACACTTGTTGCTTTCCCTCCTGCTGCCATAGGCTCATCCTTTTCCCCTCTCATACTTGGCTTGTTGGCCATGTCTTTTTTTTCTTTACTGAAAGCTAGGCTTGATTTCCTTAACAGTTATTCTTGACTATGGAGGATTGACCTGCCAGGATGAATGGAAAATCATCCTTTCCTTGACTGTGCTGTAGTTGTTCATGTTTGCAGTGTCCTGCGTTCATTTGTCTGAAGGGTTTTGGAGCAAAATGCTCTTTTGTGGTAGGACATACATAAAACAGCGCTTTCATTTTAGTATGTTTCTAGAGGTTGGGATTTAGTAGAGAGAGTTGATTTGCAGGGAAAGGAAGGAGAAATGAATAAGTAATTACAAGTTAAGAACACCCTTGTGAGAGGGTGGCGTAAGTAAAGGTGCAGGTGAAACCGGCGTGGAGGTGGGCAGTGCCTGAGCCTCAGTGCTTTCAGCAGCTTAGGGACATGTCGAGTACCTCTTAAGATGGATTTTAAAGAAAAGCTTTTTTGTTCCTGGGTTAGAAAGAAAAATGTGTAATGGGATTATCAACAGGCATTGCTTCAGCACAGGAAGGAGCTGACTTGGTTCCTATGCTATAAGCTTGAATTCAAGTAGACATCTGTCCTCCCCACCTGCATGCTTTGAGACAAGACTTTCCAGTGTGGTATGGGTGCGGGTATGAGTATTTTCTAAACTCAGGGGAAAAAAAAAAAAAAAAAAAAAAAAAAAAGGAGTTTTTATTGCCCTGTTTGGAGGTTGATGGTCCTCCCATAACTACTCCATACAGCACCAGCAGGATCCAGGTGAGTTATGACTAAGACAAAAGCAAAATATTAGAGGAGAAAAAAAAAAGATGGTATGTTTGTAGCAACTATTAGCATATCCTCTGAACTGGAACTTAGAAAGGGCACCTTGAGCTGTACACCCTTGCAGCATGAAGAAGAAAAGGTGGAGGCTTGGAAGCAAGCCGAATTTTAGACAGAGATCAGAGCAAGGACTTTTATCGGGAATGTGATAGGAAATCTGTCGCCTCTCACTAAGCACACTTATGAGAGTTGAGCAGACCGAAAGGTTTTAAAGGCAGAAAGCAACTTTGATGTTATTCTGGTGTTAGCACCTTATGTCTTAAACAGCATGTTTATAAACACTGCTACTAAACAGAGCCTGACCAAAACATGGATTGAAGTGAGATTGGCCTATTGAAATTTTAAATGTAAGTGTAGGTTTGTGCTGCTTTGTTGCCTCTTGCTGCAAAAGAAACCCATGTAGGTGCAGGTGAGTCTCTCCTAGAACTGAAGATTACTTTTTTCTCTAAATTATGCTCCATTTCACTGCCACTTGAAGATCACTTAAACAACAGTGGCTGTAAAAGGGAAATCCAAAATTATAATAAAGTTGGTTACATCAGGTATAAAATATTGCTCTCTTGGCCTCGAACTGACGTACTTTGATGTAGGAATAAGTCATTTTCTGTAACGTGTTTCAGTCCCAAGAAGAGATATCTAGGAATGATGAAATTCCATGGTAGTGTAAAATTTACATTAAGCCCCCCCAACTATTAATTTTGGCCCTAGTGTCCTTATACTTAAAAAGCTTTTGAAAGTGACCTTTGAGCAGTATGTATTGCAATCGTGTCATAAGGCAAGCCAGCTGGCCTGCAGGAACCCAGGAAGGCAGGAGAGCATGAATGAGGAAAGCAAGATGCTCTTATGGCCATCTTTATGAACTCTTGGGGACTATGTTACATCAAATTGTCTGTTATATCTACCTTCCTTAATAGAACGCTTAATGAACCCTCTTGAATCTTTGGTGTAAACACAAATAATTCAGAACCTGGTCATCACAGGGACATGAAAAATCTCCAAGTCTTGAGTGTTGAAAATGCTCCTTGCATGCTGGCCAATTATTCCTCCTCCCTTGTGGCTTACTAATAACTCCCTTCTTCCCAAAAGCTGTGGAGCAATGCATGGCACTGTCAAGCTTCACTAAACCTCTTCTGCTCTGGCCTGCACAGGAAAATACCACACTTGCTGTGCTGAAGGGAAAATAGGAGACCCGTGAGGTCTAAATGGCCAGACGTGGTGTTGAAAGCTTGGGTAGAGCCAGAAAAACCCCACCGCTTCCTCTGTTGCATTATGTTGCCCTCCTCTGATCTATGCACAGGTCTCTAGTTTTGGACATGGAGAATTATTGGTTTGATGGTCACAGTTGCATCTTGGCATGCACACTGAGACTGCATGACTCTCGGCCGGGTTAAGCAAGGCCTTCTGGACCTCTGTTAAATGCTGGGAAGACTGGTGTTCTGGGAGCACAGAAATAAGAAGTTAAGAGATTTCCACAAGATTTCATTGGGTTAAAGACTAGGTCACTTGCATCTGTTAATGCAGCATGGGTGCAGCAGTGTGGGTGATGTGCATGTCTGCAGACCAGCTGGAGCCTTTTTCTCGGGCTGAGCGCTTATGTGTGGAGCTGTACTTAGATTTTCTCAGTCTAACTCTGTTCTCTGGATCCTGATGCTTTCTTATGCCCTGATACTGTGCCTCCTTCCACTCGGCCTGTGCCTTGACAACTCAGCTGAAATGGGATATTTTTTATAGTTTTGCTATAGTAAAACACTCTCACATTTAACATTTCTAACATGCTTTACTGAATTTGTGATTATAAAGGTAATTTATAATAAAGCAATTAAATAAATAAGTTAAACCACAATACATTTATACATAGTATTTCAAAGGGCTCAAAGGACTATCGGGTTCCAATACATTAAGACTTCAACATTAAGATTCAAAGTGTATCCACGCCTATACTTATCGTAACAATTTTCAAGACTCCCAACAATGTATATTTTTGGTTACGGTCCCCATATATGCACAAGACCAGTGAAATGCTCAAGCAATTATACGATTGAGAAGAGCACTACACGAGACGGGCACGGACGATGTGCTGGAAGCTGCCTGGGGAATATGGGTTTTACTTCTTTACTTTGGACAACAAATGGAAAGCGCTAGCATGCTTTCTGGAGCACAAGTGTGATACCCTTGGTGGGAATGAGTCTCCATGTCACTTAACACTGTAGTTTCACAAATGTTTTAGGTTAGTGCTGCCTAAAGAAATACCCCACCTTTCTCTGGTCATTTGTTCCTGTGTGCATCTTGTGCTACCCTTGAGCCAGTGCAAAGTGCCTGTACATTTGCTCAGTGAACCAGCTAAGGCAAGGGACTAAGCTTAATGCTAACTCAGCAAACAAACATGACAGAGCACTAGCTCTAATTCTCCTTAATTTCCCTGGTCATGTTCACTGTGCAGATGTGCTGGCACCAGAAAGACACTAGCACAGGGGAGGGACACAGTCCCTGGGAGCACAAAGACTATTTCTGTGGGCAGCAGTACTGTTAAAAACACATCTTGTGGAACTACAGGGTTCAGCTTTTTTATTTTGAAACAAGGAACATGTTTTTTTGAACTGATTTATAGTGCAAATCAAATAGTCAAAAGCAAAATTATGGACTCTGCCAGAATATACAGTAAATTCTTATGATCTCATCCCTCCTTCTCTGTGCCTCAGCCAGTTGGTGCCCAGGGACAGAGTGGACTTTAGGGTTTGATATTGAAAGGTGTACGGCGTAAAGAGTGCATGGCCACCAGGCAGCAACCACGAAGCAATGCTCCAATATTGTAAATGGGATCTGTTCCTCCTCTCTGAGTACTGAAAGCCCACATGATAGTTGGCACAACAGGGGCTGCTACAGCCAGAACATCTCGGAGGAGACTGCTGCTCCAGTATCTCCTCTTTATTCCTGTCTGAGATAAAGTATTGACACACCCAAAGGCTTCATCGTCATGAGGTTCAGTAAAGTCGAGTTCTTTCATGAAATGGTTTTCATTAACTCCGCGCTCCACCTTCCTGCATGGAGACTCCATAGGAGACAAAAGGATGGCAGAGTTTGGATCACTTGGAGTTAAGTCCACTGTGATACCAGAATCACTGAAGCTTCCAAGAGATAATTCCCCCAATTCCTTTAGTGAAGAAGGTGGGCTTAGAGGATAAGCATCTTGAGCTCTGAAGATGTTTTGAATGAGCTGCTCCACATCTAGGCTATATGGCACTATGTCAGTCTGGACGGCCTGTTCTACCATGATGTTGCTGCTTTTCTCTTCCTCCCGGGAAGAAGCTAGTTTTTCATCCAGAACATTTTCAAGCATCTCTTTCACAGCAGAACTGGAGGGAGCTGGATCACTCCACTCAGAGGTTGTGGTGGTCAAACTCTGTTCAGATGAACCACTCCCATTACCTGTGTCCTCATTAAGAAGCAGCCCACTATCTGCCACCTCCTCCAGAGCTTGGTCCTCTGTGATAAGGCTGGTTGGCATCGTGGCACACAATGCTAAGGGCTTCCTCTCTGAGTCACACGTGTACTCCAGGCACTGTTCATCCCTCACAGAGCTATTCTGAGCCATCTCCATGCTCTGCAGCAAAGATTCCAGTTTCTTGTTTTGAATATTTATATCTATGGAGTATTTTTGAATTTTTTTGTCTTTCTCAGCCAAGCTGGTTTTCATGGTTTCAATAACCTGTTTGAGTTGTTTAATTTCACTTTTTGCTTCCTTTAAGGCCAGTTCTGCCTCCACACGATTACACTCTTCTTCAATCCAGTCTTCCCTCATCCGTCCCAGCTGAGCTTTGAGCTCTTCTATTTCTGTTTCCCTGTCACAAAACAAAAATGTTGTAACACTTCTGCTGACTGGGCAGTTAAAGAGTCAATGTGAGGCTCCACCACACTGCAATGGCTATGCCACAGAGATGCTCCAAGAAGGTAGCAATCTCCTCCATGCACCATTTGCTGCTGCCTCTGAGAGCAGCAGAAATGTAAGCCTGCTGCCAACACATGCTGGCTGGCTGCTAACTGGTCACCAACCTCGCCACACAGCCAGCAGCCTTGTGGGCTGTGCCATGATCCTGGCATTTTGAGGCACAAGTGGTGACCTCTAGGTCAGGTCCAACATCTCACCTACTGCCTGACCCTGGAGGAAATGAGAATCAGCTGCCTGGATGCGTTCCCCTGGGCCTGCCAGCAGCTCCTCACATACAACCAGAGCCAACACTGGCCTCAGACAGCAGGACGGCTCAGGGCTGCAGGCACCTGGCTTGCTTTGCCCAGTGTGGAGCTAGAGGCTGCTGCCTTGACTTGCAAGCAAGTGGGGAGAGGGGGCGCCTTGAGATCCAGCCCTTGCAGATGCAGAGCTCAGGCTATCCCAACCTGGACCACAGGATCCATGGGCCTCTGCCTTGGGGCTCCATTCAAACAGTCATTTGTGCCCACTTCAGTTGTGTCTGCTGGAGAGCCAGCTCTCAGAGCACAGTTTTAGTAAAAGAGATGACATCTGTTGCTGTGTAATGCACATTGTCACTTCTTTGCTCAGTGTCCACACAAAGGACTATTATGAAAAATTTGTACCCAAATGACAAAAACATAAGCGGGCACACTAGTTTATGTAAGAGCTTTTCTTTAATTAGGGGAGAAGGAGGACGTTTGTAGTCGTATTTCACTGAGTGAGGTAAAACAGGAGACTAAGGTAATGCATACTGTCAGATAGAAACTGGTTTATATATAAAAGATCTCAATGCTAAGACTGGTAAAAAATAATCCTTTAAAAATATTCTATTGTGAAAGTTCAAAGAAAGGAAAAGCAAGCTATATTCATAACTGAACTGCATGGTACATATTCCCTGAGAACACTATGAAACCTGAAATAACCTGAAAGCAACCTAATCAGACTGATCATATTTCAAATTTCATAATGAAAACTTTATGTGGTCAAGAAATGAGTAAAAATATTTAGGATTCCCACTCCTAAATGCTCCTGAATAAATCTTTCTAACTCTGATTTCTGAAGTGAAATTTACCTTTCTTTAAGTTTGCTCTCAGATTCCTTCAGCTTTGTTTTCAAATGCCGTACTGTAACTTCTTTCTGCTGCAGAGGAGTCAAGTATTGCTCTGGATTTTGTGGCTTCATGCTGTGATTGTCACCACAAGAATTGTATCTCCCTGATCGCCTGAAACGAAAAAAAACGAACCATCCCATAACATCACTCCCACAGTTCTTCAGTTCTGGCAAAAAGAAAAACATCCCATTGGCTGATACAAAGGTGAGTCTACACTTGACTCATTTGGGGCTCCTCAGTTTCTGCACAAGTGACTCCCTCTGGCAAATCAAAATACTTGAGGAAACTCCTGATTTGTGGCTATAGTGCACAATTCACTAGTTACCATACTTGGTTTCAGTGCCATTACATCAAATGAGACATTTAACTTCAAAATCCCTCGCCATCCCCTCACCCGAAATAGGTAGCATGTCCAAGAGCAGGCAGCTGGGCTACTGGCAAAGGCATCAGCTGCAGACACAGCCAGGTGAGGTAGTGCACAGACTGAGCTCAGCTCCACACGTCCATTATGAAGCTGAGCATGCTGTAACCTGAATTCATCCTGTCTAACTTCAGGTGTGTATCTGACATGCTTGGCTGTTTTGTTGCCTGAGAGAGGGAAACAGCAGAAGCACGTGGCAATTACTTCTCTGCAATATGTCACGGTGCTCTGGCAGGTCTCTCTTTCCTGTACAGCAAACTGCAAGAGGGAGGTGCCTAAGGCTGGGCAGGATGAATTTTCGTTCAAGTGTATAATGGTCTCTATACTACCTCACCCAACTCTCTCCAAAGCCAAAGGACCCTTAAGATGAAAGAACCAGTAAATGCCCATGAGAACTGATGGCATGAAACCACATGAAGGGTCCTGCCTTGGAGTGAAAACCAACTACAAAAACCTTTGATTAAAAGCAACCTTGAAATTTACAGTGCTGGAACAATAAAGGGATTTTACAAGGGATGGAGCACCCTGTTGACTGCCTAGCCACCAGTATAAATCATACCTATGCTGAGGAGCAAGGTGACCTGCTCAGCAACTCATACAGCTGATCCCACATTACAGTGCAGAGAAGGTAAGTCAGTGTGCTGAACACCAGGATGATGAAGTAAAGACTTGCCTCATCACTGGGCTGCTGTCGCTTCCTTTGTATGAGCCTGAGTTGCTGCTGCTGGCTGAAGAAGCCCTGTAACTCTGATGGATGTTAGTAGGGCTCAGCTGGTTTTTGTACAGCATTGGAAAAGGGTCCTTTTCACGGGAAGCAGGTGGGCTGCCTCCAGACTTGTAGGATAAGGATCCGTTATTACGACCATAAGGGCCACGACTGGAGGGGAACAAAAATGGTTAAAGCATATTGGATTATCCTTGTCACATAACCCATTATGTGTCTCCTTTTACACACAGAGTTGTCTAAACACTAAATTAGAGAGATAACTGTGAGTGGCTGGGAAGAAAGAAAGTCCTTAAGTCATCAGCCACCGTGCGTTCTTTCACTGACTGTGGAGCGCTCAGACTGAATTACGTGTTGTAGGGAAACCTCAGCCATTTTCACATTTCTCTGTGGATAGCACAGTTCCCAGGGATTCCATCAGATCGTTTGTGTTCCCTGAACCTGAATCCATTAAGTAATGAGAGGACTGCAGCCTGGATTAGTGCCAAAAGACTCATGCTTCAGCTTTCCCTGGCCAGGCTTGCAGAGAGATGCCCGTCCGTGGAGGTTTGCTGTTAAGACTGCTTTCATGCTCCTCAGCAAGCAGCCCGAGGGGTCACAGCGTGCAGTGAAAACAGATTTTCTTTGAGCCACTGTTCTTTTCTGCCTTTGGCATACTGGGTGCTTCAGCTGTCATTGTCAGCTATTCATTTGCTTAGATACAGTTTGAACCCCACTGAGAGAAGGCTGAAATGGTATTAAAATAGACAAAGGAAAGCATGGCCTTTTCTTTCTTCCTTCCAGTTTACCTCATACATATCTACCTTTCTTTTCCCACTTTTATTAAATAATCTGACTGCCAACTGTGTGTGCTTGAAAGCAATTGGTATCTGCAGTACTCGACAGCTGCCAAAGGGCTGGGGTGCTCTGAGGACAGCTTCTTGGGGTGCGTTCCTCACTTACGCACTTGGTTTGCCTTCCTGCACTACTACCCTGCTACCTTCACCCTCCCATAAAAGTTGCTCTTCTAAATTGTAATTAAAGGGCAAGTTTAAAAAAACATGGGAAAAGGCAAATCCAGTCAGCAAAAGAAAAGTCTTGAACATAAAAATTTAAATACCACAGAATTATGAAGCAAAATCTCTTCTTAAAATTGTCTGACTTGGTTTCCTCCCTTCTCTGAAAATGGAACAGTTTATAAGGAACAGATGGTTGAGTGGCTGCTGCAAACGTTCATCACACTGCTGCGGTTTGGGTAATTTTATAATTATTTTACAATGAAGTGCAGGACTGTAGTTTGTGACAACACTGATATGTTTCACAGTGAATTAAGTCAAAC